GTAAAAGAGGCCTAAAAGGTGAGGTCTTTTTTACTGCTTACTGCTCGTGTGTTCTTCATGTTTTTCTTACATGTTTTTCTTCAAACCATCCACATGGGTGAAAGAAGCCCTGTCAGCCCCTTTGTTTCAGATGGAGAAGTAAATTAAAGCAGGGAGGAAAATTTCTGTGGTGTACAATAGGTAGACTGATCACAAAACTTCCCTTGTAGAGAATAAACTAATGTCCTTTACACAATGTATAGTGGACAACTAATTAAAAGTATTGCTCAAATGACCACACAGATCCAGGTCCAGTAGTTTGGGGGCTTTTCCCCCCTCCAGTCTATTGTTCTGAATTTCTCCCATGACAGCTGTAAAGACCTGCCTTCTCATTTCCCGAACGAACACGTTTGGTCATGTAGGAATGGCTATAAAAGGGGCTGAAAGCAGTGTGCCACCAGAACAAGCTGAACCAAGCATTAGGATACACACAAGAGAATGTCACACAAGGTCATGCAGGTACTTTTAAAAATCCCATTTTAGCACAAAGCCTGAGACTCGCTGATGTCCAGAGGCTGTTCTGCCATGTTCTCAACAGCACCAAAATATTACAGGTAGGTTTCATAAGGACCAATCCCATGAAACTACTCATTAGTAAGACAAACAGTTCTAAAAGAAAGAAGATGTCAAATGACTGTGGGGTCACAGACTCAATTATGGTCTTTTGTTTGGTAATTCTTGCTCAGGGATTCATGATGAATGCACCAGGAACACTGTTTTGCTTGAAACTGCCAATACCCATACACTGGTGGTATCAAAAGCAACACACATTCTAGCAGTGCTTTTGTATGAACCCCTTGCTGCACTTAAAAGTGTTACTGTAGAAGCATTCTGCTGTTCTAATTTGAAAAACATGTATTTTATTACTGCTTTAAGACTTCATATATGATTTTACAGGGCACCATGTAAGCTTGCCTAGCATTCTCCAAACCAGCAATCCTTAACCCAGAGCCACAGTCAGGAGCTTTACAAATGAATTTTCATTTCTTCATGAATTATCCTCTTCCAAGATTAGGAAAACACAAATAAATTGCTGAATCCACTTTGTTGATTTGCCACATTTTTCTGAACAACAAACAAGAAGATTTCTCTCCAGAGACTGAAATTTCATCAGCCATGTTGATTACCTTTATCCATGAATTGGAAACCTGAACTTATTTTGGTAGGTTAAAAAGTACATCCATATTCATGCCCATATCCTTAACACATGTTTAAGTTACAATATTCCCAGTCAATATTGTGTGGCTCTATTTTTGGCTTACGCATGTAGGCAATTCAAACCAGCTCACAATTAATCTTAATAAACAAAACATATGAAGAGTGGACAGACAGTGTTTGCGTGTGTGCAACTTGGGTATGTAGCTAAGTAGCTTACCCCACAGTCACATCATGGGTCAGCAGCACTACCAAGCACAGAGCTCAGATTGTTCATATTCAAGTTCACACTAGATCCCACAGATACTTTTAGAATAACTGGTTGTTTATTTTAATGAAATGAGTAAAATATTTCCTGTAAAAGAATTATTAATGTTTCACATTCTTAGTTTCAGTGCTTCATTTCCCAGCATCACACATGCATGGGTTACACAAACATAGACAGGGCCAGAAAAGCTTACTTCTTTTTGTATTGTCAAGACAGTTTGATTGTTTCTTCTCCAAGGAACTTGGAAGTCTGTAAGAAGCAGAAGTGCTGGAAAATAAGAATGTACAGAGGAAAAAAAAAGCAAACAACAATGTTGGCCCTTCAGAGCTACTCCTTCTTGAGTTTGCACTGGATGAATGCTGCAATACAATTTCGTCACATTACCGTAGGGTTTTGTGATTTGGAGTAGATGTAACGCACTATTGTACCCACTGAAAAAAGAACACCGACCACAGGACTACCCTCCACTACCACTGTTGGACACTCTGTCCAGGAAAATTTCAGAAAACCCATGGATCTTCCTGGAATTCACGATACCTCCCTACACTCCTAGGTACTTCAGGTGGAAGGTGTTCAGGTAGTGACGGCCGAAGATAAGTAGATCCAGAGAAGCTGATATGTTTGGGTGAACATGACTGGATCTCTGGTAGCCACTTTTTCATCATTTTCTTCTGTTGATGCTTTGGTTTCAGTGTTGGTTTAGTTTTTTTGTTTTTCTGTTTGTTTGGGGTTTTTCAGTTCAGGCTTTTACTACCACAATAACAGGGTTGTAGGTGTGGATTTAGGTGTTTGTTTTTTTTTTAATTGGACATAGGACTTGTCACTTTCAATCATCAGCTACTCACCACTGTTGAACAGCTTCCCAATTCAGAAATCAGTGTATTGATATTACTACACAGGAAGGAGTATCTCATCCCAAGACTCAGCAAAAGAAAAGAGAGTAATTTAAACAAGTAGTATGAGAGTGTATCACTGTAACCATTTCCACAATGTACCTGTGGCCAATTGCTACAAAAAATTTATAACTTGCTTCATGATTACCTGCTGTTGCAGGGGGAAAATCACAAAGGGATCAGGAATCAGTGACAGAACACTTAGCTTCACAAGAAATAAAAATTACGTCAACTATCAAGGAAGGTAGAACTAGTAGTTTTAACTGTAATGAAGCACATGAATCCTGGTACCAGACCAAGGCCCCCAGAACTTACCTTTTAAAAGTACGTAAAGAGACAAATTCTGCCAGGTAATTTACAGTGTTTGTACTGGAGCAGAGACCAAACGAGATGCCACAGTAGAAGAACTGAAAGAGTTATGGGTACCACAGCCCAGGCACCATGGCTTCAGGAAGCCTGTAGTTCCATCTGTTCCATATGGCTTAAAAGCCTGCAGGGGTTAATACAGACTCAGAGAATCACAGAATCTAGTTCCTCCATGGAGACAAAACTACGGAAGTGACTGTCTGCTTGTGGATATTTTAAAGAAAAAAGAAAACATATGGCCCTCTGGAGCTATGCTTGCTTTTTCTCCAGCTGGTATGACACAGAGAACAGATAGCCTAGGCCTACAACTAAATGCAAAAGCTTTATTCCAAGGCGCAATTAGGGAACAATTTAGGGAACGTGTTTCAATTTTAAAAGTTCTCAGATTAGCAAAATGGAAACAAAAAAACTGAGAATGCTCATGTACACTAACTAATACAACTGTTAAAAGCACAAAATAGCTGCATAAACCAGCAGTGTCTTACCTGTGTGAGGAATATTTCTGTGAACTATCAAAGACAACTCAGAATGAATAATTAAAACCAGCCTTTTCTCTCTCAGATGTTACTTGTAATTCTACACATAGACTAGTAGTGAGCCAAAATTAAAACAGAAGAATGGGTTTAATTCAAAAGGCTAGAAAGAAAGATGGGTAATTTAATTTATAAAATCAGAAAGTGTGACCCTGTGGATTAAAACCACATTTGTGATAAATAAAGTCAAGGGCAGATATGATGCATGTCTTTAACTTCAAGTCTTGAAACATGCTGGTAAATGTTTCAGAGTACAAACTCATTCCCTAGTCTGGGCCCAAATGCAGAGCCAGCGTGTGCAAACAGCCCACCAGCTTCTGAACCCCAGCAGGAGTGCCTGTGGCTCATAGGAATCTGGAGTCATGTGTTCCCCAGGGAAGGCAAGGCCAGGAGGGATCTTAAGAAGTCATCTAGTCCAACCTCTGCCAGAGGATGAACTGTGTCTAAAGCACTGCCAATATTTAAAGTCTTATTTAACTTTTATATTAAAATTTAAGTGAATGATCTTATAATATTCTCAGAAAATGTATTGCAGGGCTTTGCACAGTTACCACCAGGATTATTTTCTCCTAATGCCTAATCTGAAGGTAGGCAGTTACCTCTTGTTCTATGAATACAGAGTTTGGAGAACAAGGTTTGGGGTTGTTTTTTTACTGTCTTCTCTGCAATAGCTTTTTACAAATGTCAATACTCCTTTAGTCCTTGCTCCTGCAGACTAAACACACCAAATTCTTTCAATTTCTACATACAAAATAATCTTGTCTAGCACTCTCATCCTTCTTGTCTCTCTCCACTGGACTCTTTCCAACTAGCCCCCAACCTCCCTGAAGTGTGGTGCCTGAAACCAGATATAGTATACCAGCTCAGACCTCATTAGACCTTATTAGGCCTAATTAGAGTAAAAGGTTATTTCATGTGAATTTAATGGGATATGCTTATTTAATCAGTCTAGCATGAAATATGCTTTTTCACAAAAACATGACATTACTGACCCATGATTAATTTGCCATTCACTGGAATCCACATGTCCTTTTCAACAGAATTGCCATAACTAGTTAGGCCTCCTCCATCCTCTTTCTGTTATTTACTTGAATTCAACACCTTATATTTGCCCTTACTAAAGCAAATCCTACTTATGTCACCTAATTTCAGCAACTAATTTAAATAACTTCTTGTTGTAATCTATTCCTCCGATACACTTTCAGGCTTTATAATCAATAATTACTTGTAAATCAGGTATCCATTGCATAATCCAATTTGTTTCATAAAGTATCTAAATTAGCATAAAACTGACTTAAGTAAAGGCCTTCTTATTACATCTTTCTAGGTAAGAGTGAATTGTTAACAACAACCCTAGCACAAATAGCTCTTGTAGATCCATTTAAACTATGCTTTCTACATCAGCTATGAAAACGTCAAAAGCAGACTTTACCAAAAGCCCCTTTGGTAAAGTCTTTTGTGTCACTTTTCCAGCTTCTACGTTCACAAGTCAATTATTCTGTGCTAATCAAAACATTTTGTCACAGAAGAAACTGTTTGATAGGATTTATCTTTCATGGTATTTCCCCTTCTCTCTGAAATTGTGTATTAAAATAAAAGCATTCTTGAATGAGAAAGATGTATAGAAACTATTTTTCCACAGAATAAACATTAAAAACAATTAAAATGCATATTGCAATTTGTGAAGATCTCCCTGTTTTTGCCATAAACCATGTTATCTTACACATCAAATAGATCGCAGGAATATGTAGTTGTCCTTATCCAATTTTATTTCCTTTAACAGAAATGCATACTTATTCCAGATACATTCCCTGCATCTAAATTAAGATCCTGAATTAAAAGCCAATGAAAATTGGCTTTTATTCTTTTACAGACTTTGGTGAATTCTGGATCAGTCCAGTGGTGAATGGAAATTCTTTCCCCAGCTGTTACATTTTATTGCAAGCACTGCTGTCCTACACACTCAGACAGAAGTAGTAGGTCTTTAAGTAGTCTATTTTTACGTACAGGTTATGTTACATAAATGATATAAAAGGCTAATGATGGACACACGTTGGACTAGGTTTTCCAAAGACACACTGATGCCACCACACAAGGCAACTCTTCAAAGAGAAAGAGCCAGAATTCACAAACTTGATGGAAGTCCTGACACTAATCCATTAAATGTCACATATATTAATCTAAACCACGTAATTTCATTGGTCTGATCTTTAATATTGTACTTGATGTTACAAATAAATTAAAGCTTTAATATTTAATTTATAAAATTTTCCCATTTCAATGTAAAATGAACAGTAGGTTTAAAGTAAAAAGAGTCTTGTGGAGGCAACAGCTTTCTTTAACTTCAACAAGATTATAATTTTATAAGAGTAGAGAAATGTGTAAACATAAATATTCATGATTTTCTTCTGTACACATCTGTGTAAATTGGTTGATATAAATATAATTTACTATAGAAACATTGTTTGTTTATGCTACACACAGTTCTATGCTGGCATCACCTACTAGTTGATTAATTTTCAAAGAGCGAGATTTATGCATTTTGCATTCTAACCCCCAGTATGTCCATTGCCAGCAGTGGACTTCATGCTCAGAGAATCAGACTCACAGCGTCAGCAATCTAAAATTACACTTCAGAACAAGATTATAAATAATCAAAAATCAGTGTATTATTTTCATATCATAATCACCAAATGCTTAAAGGCCATGATCCATGCCAACCAAAATCAATGACTGTTTTCCCATTGACGTAGCTGAAATTCACTTGCAGTTTCCAGCCCCTGTAGATTCTCATTTTAGTTTTGCAATTTTGTTACAGCATTAAGAGTTAAAAAGTACGTGGTATCAGAGCTTCAGAGTGAGAAGTAAAGCCTCTAAGTCTTTCTGGGCCTCTTTATCCTGAAAGAAACAGACAATCATGCATCAACTTAGATAGGATAAATCCCTTCATTCGCCTAATACTTGCCTATCCACATTTCTTTACTCACAACAGACATAACACAAAACTGCAACAGCCACAAAATATAAAGACTGCATAGTAAGTTAATTTATCAGTGAATACAAAAATAAAGTGAAAACAAGAGCCAGGTGGCAGCCCTCCCTTTACAGCTCTGTTAAAGCACTTAAAATGTTAGCCCACAAACAGCCTTCTCAGCAGACCAGTAAGCTTTTCAGCTTGGGATGTAACTTTTACTGGTGTACTTTGCATAAAGTATTGCCTTCCCTTATACCTGACGTAATCTGGCAACCCAACTGTGTGTAGTTTTTTCTAAACATATTTCTGTGATGTTTGCGAATAATTTATTATGAAACTAAGAAGAAAACATTGGGAAATGTAATTAATGACATAGGTTAGACTGTGGTTTCAGTGCATACAGCCATACCTACCTGTAACAGCCACCATGGACTGACTACACTCTCAATATCTTCCAGTGTTGGTGGGCTCTGCCTATGCTACTGGGTTCTGGGTAGAGTGGAGCCAACGGGGGAGCAACAGGGAAGTGATCTGCTGTGCTCAGAGCCAACACTATATGCACCTCCTGAGGCAGAAGGGAAAGGCTTCTTTTAGGCCAAGGTGTTAAGTGCACAGTTTGCATGGGGCTTTAAACCAAACCCAGGCCACAGAGGTAACTAGTGACATATGTTTTAGCTATTCCATGTATGTTTGGAAAGGGGTACATGCATATAAGTATGTAACCACAGCACAAAAACTCCATTATTCTACCTATTTTTAAATGTCTCTGGATATATAATCCACTCGCTTTAGTCACCACTGCAAAACTTTTAGCTTGCAAACTGCACCTTGGTTTAAAACCACATTTCTCAAAAGTCACCACCTCATACCTGAAAGCTAGTAAGAGTCCAAACACCCAACACATGCACCCATGGGTACTTAACAGTGCAAGTGAAAAGTACCTGCACACCACAGATTTTATGCAAGTATTTCCAATCACAGGGACCAGTAGCGATAATGCCACAGGCAATTCTGAAAGAAAATACTGTAGACAGTCAATGAAGTAATCACTGAATTTCAGGATCACTTCATTATCCAATCAACCAAAGAGCTGGAACAAAATACAGGACATTTTAAAATATATTTTATGGGTGAAGAAATTCCTGCTTCTCTTTATTTTGGTTAGTTGTCTAAAATGTCATGGAAGAACAGAGAAGAATATTGAGATGATAGAAACCATATGCCAGACATGTCAAACTACATTATATTATTGGTCTGGATTAAGGCATTAATACATTAGCTGGACACTTCTCTTGGAGTCACTGCCTTACTCCCACTGGCAACAATAGGCTAAACTATCTGCCTAATCATTTATCAGAGGCCTTAAAAGGCACACACTGCAAAGCCAGCAAGCTCTTGCCAAAATAACTCTAACAGAAGGAAATGTCATGCTGAATTCCGCACCCCTTAAACTCCACGTCACTACTGGCTGCCTGGAGCACCAACCCATTGCTTTCAATAAAAATCGGAAAACTCTAAATTTGTATCAATATCTTGCTTAATTCAGGGAAAATAAACTCTTTTCTGTACGGACTGTGGTCGACTTGTGAAAATGATTCTAAACTCCATTAAACAAAAAAGTAGAAAGACAGATATTGTCCCACGGTATTAAGAAATGGAAAAGTTTAATTTTATCTGGTTCTACTCTTTTGACTCTTTTCTAAGCTGAAAATTGTAAAGATACAGGTTTTCTCATACCTGAATGATGTTTAGCATTTCATGGGATTCTTTACTCACTTTGCAGGATACAGCATTTAAAAAATATATCTTCAAACAACTTTGTATAATTGTCTCTCTGCTTAGAAGCAAAGGATTGTATTGGGTAATGAGCTTTGAAAGTTGTAAAGGTCTCAAAAGTATTGGGCAATCTTCCCTGAATCTTCCTCTGGGCTTAGGAAAAAGAATGGAACAAACCCATGACTGTTCTAAGAACTGTCTGGAGAAGAAACTGCAAACGTGCAAAGCGTTCTACCTCTGGTTTGCCAGTTCTAAACAAGACTACATCAGTAAAAGCAGGAATTATTATTATTGTTGCAAACTACTTAACTGGCTGAATTAATTGAGCCAGCAGCTTCCAGTCAATAAGAACTCATATGGCAAAAGCATTGAAAAAAATCAGTAATGGTATTAAAAATAAGGCTGAGAATGGTCAGTGAAGGGAACTATGATGTCACCTTTGAATAGAGTCCTTCCAGACCAAGAGGTGTGTCACACTAAAAGGAGAGAGAAGCTAGGATTCTGTTCAGTGCACCAGTTTCCAGGTTTAAGGGTGAAAACTTCATTAATGCCCAAAGCTTGACTGTTAATGGAAAGACAAAGCCATAAATCCTCTATTTGGCCAGCTCTCTTCCTTGTTGATTTCTGGGTCTGTGGCTTTCTGTAAATGAACAGTAAGGTTGGCTTTTTTTTTTTTTTAATTATTTTTAAGACAGGCAGGCTCTGATCTCCCTTTAGAATGTGGCAGGCAGAGGAAGAGGTGCAAGTCGTAGGAGGAATGCAATATATTTGCGTCAGTCGCATTTGTTCACCCTGAGGCTTAGTTCAGCACTGACTGAATACGCCATTTTCAACCTTGACTTTCTACTGTCAAGGCTTGCATTTATTAAACACTTATATCATTTTCAGAGTTGAATAGGAGTTCAAAATGTTCTGCAAACTGCTACACAAAAGGTATTCAAATTACAGGGTCAGAGACTGTATTTTTCCTTCTTCCTATTTAGTTGCTTTTCTTTTATGTTTCATCATTCACAGGAGATATGCACATGAAAAAACAGACCTGGGAGGCCAGGGACTGAACAGGGGAAGAGAGGGAGTTGAAAACAAGTGCAAGAAGGAAGACAGAGCTGGTGGGAAAAAGAGAATGTTAGCTTAACTGGAAGTAGTCCACATTTTGACAGTTCATTTCTGCTGAAAAAAAATTTACCGATAAATACATATACACACAGACTTACACATATAAATGTGCATGTAAAAATTAAATGGCAATTAAAGCAAAGACAGAAAGATAATGATTTTACATCTCTGACAATTATTTCCTTATGCACTAAACACACTCAACCCAGGCACTGCACATGTGTACACTTGTTGACAAAGTCCCAACTGTCAACAGAGAACGATACACCCCCATGACCATAACCAAAATGGTTACACCAGCCAACAAAAACATAATTCTGTGCAACCACTGCCAAATCCCAAGCTGACATGCATCCTGTAGGGTTTCATTGAAGTCAGCGGGGCAGATTGGTATATTAAACGAGCTGAGCTGCAAGGGTGGTCCAAAGCTGTACTCTGATATGCAGTAACAGCAATGAGGTGCTGAGAGACACTCCTGCTTTCGGGTACAGCTGTATCATTCCCTTGCAGCTCCAGGAGAAATCCTGGACTGTAACAGAAGAGACTCCCACACATGCACAAGGATTGTCAATTAGAGAGCAAAAGCTCTTGTGGACAATATAAATCACACAGAGCTAAACGTTATCCCTTCTCAGGTTCATGATCAACTCTCACAGATGATGTGACTGTAGTGGGCACTAAAAATTGCATAATACCATTTTTTCCCCTTAGATATTTTGATACACAATGCAATCACCCACTTGCCAGTTTCTATATGACTGCTGTATGTCACAGGTTAGGGCATTTTATGTTCTTTCACATTTTTAGTATCTGCCTCTGGGGATTAACTGTGACTTCTCAAGGCCTTTAGGATTAAGGCAAGCACATCTTTAAAATATGTAGCTGATAATAATTACACATTTTCGGAAATTACTTCAAGTAGAGGGAAAAAATACCCTTTAACACCCAGAAGTCTGTGAATAAACAGTTTAGCTAGTCCAAGGACTGCTGTTGAAAAATTAGAAAACAGCAGAATACAATCTAGAATAATAAACAGCCATGTAAAATTTTTATCCACTAGTTCTTTTCTAATTTAAAAGACTAAGTTTCACCTATAATCTGGCTTTCTTTAACTACTGTACACAATGTGGAGCTTTTGGTGTTCAAGACATTCCCCTCCTTCTCTTTCTGTCTGGCTGCTGCCCCTACCATGATGGGACCTACAACTTTTCTTTCTGCACAGTTATTGCTGAAAGAGCTTGAACACAACCATGCCCCTTCAGAAAGGTACAGCCCCTTCAGAAAGATGCCTGTCGAGGCTTTCCTTCACCCTGCATATTGAGTCCAAGACCATATATTTCAAGATCCTAGAGACATAACCTGGCCCAGCTACACTACAAAAATTAAAAATAGGTTTTTGCAATCTGCAGTGCACCACCACCTCTGTGAACATTTCTCCCACTCTGCTCCTGCATCATGCCCCTGCCCCACATGCCAGCAGAGGAGATAACACTCCGCACCTTGAGGAATCATCAGCTGATCAGTCTTGCTGGACCAAGAGCTATGCTAAACCTGTGTTACCTTTTATAGGATGTTGAAATGAATGTTTTGTGATAGACAGTTTAATCACAGATATGATAAGCTTGGTATTTAAAAGGATAGACTTTATCCTTATGTATGAAACTATGACACCACAAAAAATATCTTCATCACTTTTTGGAATTGTTTTTGGAGGGAGAGAAAGAATAACCAGACAGTGCAAACAAACCTTTTGGCAAAGCTTCAAAAACATGTAGATAGAAAATTGGTCTAATCACTAAGGTAGAGAAATATAGACTGTATTATTTGAAGTGCAAATACAGGCAGTTTCAAATTCTTTTAGCAACTCTTTATCAAATGTCTCATTTTCCCCCAGCATTTTACAGATTAAAATCTGATCTCTTTCTAATGAGATTTTAAAAAGTGCATTCCCTGAGCTTGAAGCACCCACATGGAGAGCATACAAAACCACTAATCAAGGAATATTTTTTAAGTATATTCAAAAGATATTTTATTTTTGGTTGGTGATAGCTGTCAGAAAATTCTTGTTCAACTCCACAAAGAGTATTAGAAGGAAAACAACAGCTAAGAATTTAAAATGAACACAAATCTGACACTTCCATTATTTTGCAATTGAAACACCATCGACTTTTGCTGGCCATTTGGAAAACGAATGTACATAAAATCTAAAGCAACAAGTATGCTCTGAAAAGAATGGTTTTTTGTATTAAGAAGATGATGTTGAGAAAAGAAAACGTTCTGTTTGATGAGCAAACAAAAACATTTTTATAAGGTTAAACCATATTATTCACATAGTTTCAATCGGTAGTTTTTTCACAAAAAAGTCATAATTTGTACCCTTCACTTTAAAAGCAAAAGAAAATTACTTTTTTCTCCTCAAAAACTTCTTAGAAGGACAGCTTACCACAGTAGCTTCAAATGATATCTGTTGGAAATATCACAGCAAGGACTGCTACATATGGTGGCTAGAGTAGTATTTCTTGAAAAATCTTGAAAATCCAGATATACAAATGGTCTGTTGTAATAGGAACAGCTAATGGGTGCTGAAGTTTATACTCTGACCTCCCTTCCATCCCCCTGTAACTCCTACTCTTTTCCTTACCTACAATATTAAAAATGAAATTAATAACCAGAGAGATTATGGTGATGTAAAAAAAAGTGTAAGAAAATCGTATGGGCGTGATTTCTCCTCAGCAGCTGCAATCCTGTGTAAACATTCAGCCATTGTTCCTGCCTATTATTACATTTACCTCCTCTTTCACATGAGTTTCAGATGTCACTGAGGCCGAAGGCAGAGTCTTTAACAAGTCTCTGCTTCCTGCCATTCTACACCTGTAAGAAGTGAATGCCGTAATGACCAATTTCTGTAACATCTAAATCTCTCTCACTTGTTAATTTCAAGTCTGAATTGCCATAATTTGTACTTGCTGGGAAGGACTGAGTGTTTTAAATCACCAATAATTTTGTAAAAGACAGTCTAAACTTCAGGGAAGTTTTTATCTGCATTTTAAGTACGACTCTCAGCAACTCTCCATACAAATAGATTTCCTTTGCATTTTTCCTGCTTTGCTGTCTTCGTCTCTTCCAAGACTACACTTTTTGTAAGGTAACTGCTGCTTTATAGATTCATTTTCAAAAAAGTGTCATAGAGACCAGAACCCTGAGATTTTAACCCCTTTCTCTGCTAAGCTGTTAATTCCTTTGTGGTGAGCTTATTGGTCCTACAAGCACAGAGTTCACTCTCATACCCATGCTCGTCACCAGATACAAGAAAAAATTTCTTGATTATTATACTTCATAATCCTACATTGAGACTTGAATTTTCTTCAAGTTCCAGCCTTGAAAGTACCCAACAATCTTTGTTATAAACAAGAAATTAGTGTCTTATTCCCCTTACAAGCAAAGCACCATGTGTTTAACCACGCACACACACATGCACACGTGCTTTGCCTTCCTATATGCAAGACAGACACTCGTGTTTTTAAAATTAAATTTCATTTTTGTCTTCAAATTTAAAAAAAGTAATCTTGTTCCATCTCAGTAGTCTATCACATCTGGTTTCAACAGCCCTTCATGTAGTCACACTCACCAAGGCTTTGAGCACACTACAAAGTAACGTGTCTCAGTAAGGGTAACACAACATCCACTAGAAGAACAGAACAGCTGTGAGGCACTTCACAATAATTCACAGCAGTCCTGAACATTAGGATCTCTTTTACTGAAGGGGTAAATATTTCCCAGGACCCTGAGGTTATCCACCTGGGTAGCAACCAGAGAAAAACTGGACAATTTAATGTCCCATGCACCTCCAGCAGTGAAGCACCATTTCACTATTTATGGCCAAGGAAGAACTGTATGATTCATTGGAAGTTTTTGTTTAGAGAGGATAGAAAAAGGTCTCTTAAGTTGCACTGTAACACCAGTTTTGTTTTTTCAGATGTAATTTTCACCAAAACTCATATATTTCCTTTTAAAATAAAAATAATGCATAGACTGTTAGGTTAAAAATGTGCCAAACTATTTTTAAAACCTGTCCTAATTTTAAAAATCATCCTGTAACTCTTAACTTACAGGACTTACAGGAGTCGTTCAGTCAGAACTTGCTTCTTCTTTTACAATTTCTGTACTAACCTTTTTAAGACTCATAAAAGGGTTGAAACTGGCCATCTGATTTTTTTTTCTTTAGCAAGAATTAGCTATGTTTGGAAGCCCCTTTACCCCTTGAACTAAAACATATTCTGTAAGTAGTAGGACAGATGCACAGAAGGGATATTTGGATGTGATACAACATTCAAGTAAAAAATAATATCACTTAACTCAAAATGTTACACAAAATGAATCCTAAGGAAAGGGTCAAAGAAGTGTCCTGAGTTACAGCAGCTGAGAATTTGACCTGAGGATTAAAATGAGCTATGGGCTACTTTACTGGTGCCAAGCACCTCTGGTTCCCCGAAGTCACTGGAAACTGTGGATGCTCAGAAGCAATATAAAGTAAACCACTGTCTATGATTATTTTTCTGCAGGATGATTTGTATCATGAAATACTATACATTTCCTCAATGTGGCACCTTTCCAGCAGCTTTGTCTCTCAGTCTGCTCCTGATTTTATGCCTTTATACAAATACATGTTTCTCAATAGGAGCCAACATTTAAAAACAATAAAGGAATTTCCCTGCTTGAAGAAAGAGAGAAAACTCACATGATTACACATGGGAATGATGGGTTTCACATGACTCTGACAACATACCATGCTGCTGACAATCTTGAGATCCTGTGCTGTGGCAAACTGAAAGAAATCCTCTGACTGCTGTTGACCTGTGGTTTTTGTTTCAGACCACGAACCTCATCTTCTACAAGGCTGTAGTCAATTCAGGCACTTTATCAGCATCCATTTATTGCTGTCTCCCTAATGCCTCCTTAGTCTTATTACAATCTCTTCCCTCCCTTAAACTAATCTGACTAAATGTTATTTCTACGTACAGCTCCAAGCCCTAAACCACTTCATTTCCAACATGTTTTTCCAAAAATCACTAACAGTCCTTCTCTAACACAATAACCAAAACAACATGTAATACTTGAATTCAGATGGGATCTGAGGTAACAGCATCAGCAGACTTTGTGTTCCAGATCTTCATATCACAGTAATTCCTTTCAGTGTGCACTTGGTTTTACCCTGTGCTGACTGCTTGGTTGGTTTTTTTAAATCAAATTACTTACTATTGTCCTAATGCCATATTTTTCTGGACTCTTTTTTCTAAACCTCACTCAAAACACATCACAAGTAAACAAGATAAAGGAGACAAATCTGTGATATCTATAGAATTAGTCAAAACAGAAGAGGTCAAATCATCTTGTCTTCTTCAGACTGACAAAAGATTTTTGGGGCCCAGTTGACACTCTTTCTTCTGTTCACAAACCCATATTATTCTTACTCTCATTACCATCATTGCTTGCCAGAATACATACACCTACCCCTCAGACTGCTCCTGAATTCCTGCTCTCACCTCAGGGTTACCCCTCCTTCTCAGGTCTGCTAACACTTCAGAAATGTGATGGGGTATTAAACAGGCAATTTATAGCAGTCTTTCCTATGTTCCATAATAGGCAAGCTGAAGGTATATTTTAACAGTAAGTAAATAATAAAGCAGAGTTAAAATATTGCTTATGTCATATCTGTACCAATACATATTTAAAGAAACACTGAACGTAAGCAATGATTACTTAATTTATGATTGGTACATACTATAACCTGGGCCAAAAAATAAGGCCACCCAGGAGCAGCGGCTGGTGAGGCATGCAGTGGTCTTTCTTCCCAGCAGGAACACTTGACATAAACATGTTAGTGCTCCACACACAGCATTTATTGTCAATCAAGTTACAGAGCTATTTAATGGTCTTTAACTTCAAAGAATTTAATGGGATAGGGCCAATTCCTCTCTGAGATCACCTCTCTCTCTGTACCACATCTGCTGTGCTCAAAGGGGGTCCCTTAGGCTGACAAAGCTCAGGTTTGAACTTGTCACACTCTAGGATGGTAAGATGTTTCCAATCATAGGTTAGTCATTATGGAACTTGCTTCAGAGATCAGACAGAGTGAACCTTCTTGCCATGACTTGGTTTATATTTGAGAAATTAAATAACTTAAAATCTCTCAAATATTGGTAGAAATATTGTGTTCACATACATAAAAACACTCTGAAGGGCCTAAAGAGGAATCTAATAATCTCTTAGAACAACCTATGTTCCAGCAGATGTAACTGGAAGAACTGTGCCTCTTAACTGCACAGTGGCTGAAGACAAAGGTTACCTTGAATAACTCATCTTCCTCTGCTGCAGTCAACATACTGCCCTTGACAAGAATCACAAACCGCGGCTTTCAGGAGCAGAGATAGAGACTGTGGGGCAAAAATCCAGAATTCTTTCAACTCAGAAAAATGTAGGTCTGGGGCAAAATTTCAGCACAGCTATAGAGTGACACATGCAACTCCTTGTGCTTAAGATGGTCTAATGAAGTGGGTTGAATTACAAAGAGTGCAATTCAGTTTCTGATACAGACAAGTCCCTGACAGTTCCCTAAACAAAGATTTTTTTAAAGCTGTTGATACAGACAACTGTAATGAGACAACCTAGAGTGGAGGAAAAAGGAAGGTTCTGTATTCAGAGGAAAAACTGAAACATTATGTTATTACCGACAGTGCAGTAATGGATGCCAAAGACAAGAGAGCAGTCACAAGGGAATAAGTTATCACTCTCAATACCCACCTCATTAGTAACTGAGAGAACTGACAGCGCAGAATCACAGTACTTCAGTGCATTGTTTTTCTGGCCAAGATCTTTATAGCACTGAGAAGAAAAAACATTTTGTTTCCAATCAGACCACTGTAGGAATACCAGAGTCTACAAATCATTATTTTTAAAAGAACTTGGTTACCTTTGCCAAATACACATAATTGCATTTGGAATATCCTGGATGCATTTCTTCTGCCTAGATAATAAAAAACAGGAAAGAAAATAGACTTAAAACTTGTGTGATGGGATTTATGTGGTCTGCATAACATTTTTAGTAATGCACTACACTTCCTCAAACATCAGACAGAATCATCCCTACTGTGTGTAATGCAATCTGTTTAGCAATTCAAAAAAAAAAATCAAGAAAACAAGAAAACCCTAAACTCAAACCCTAGACCAGGCACAATAGATGCTGACATTGAACACATAAAAATGTTCTGTACTCCTTGCTTTCCTCTCTCCCAAGTGCTCTGTAAAGACATCAGGTCATTCTGTACAAGATCTATCAGACACATGCACTTTTTTGAATGACACTGCTCTCTCTAGATTATTAATAATTATTTCCTTGTCAAAGAAATTAGAAAGCAACCAACCATTCACACTTTGCATAACAAGTAACAAACTGGGTTAATCAACTTTACAATTATTTCTCTTCCACAGACCCGTATCATCTAGTTCTGGGTACACATTTCTTTTCACACTACCACCTTCTGAAAAGTTCAGGTTGTTAAAAAAGTTCAAGAATGTCTTCCTTTTAAAACACACCAAGGACATAGAAGCTTGCAAGATGAGTAAAAGCCTTGCCAACTATCTACTAGCCAAGAAGCAGTTTTAATCAACAAACAGCTTCTGGAGAGAAAAGTTACATCAGTGAAATTTATAGTAGCTGTAATCCTTGGACCAAAGCAATGCTGCTTTCACCACAACCGTGTAGAATCAAGCAATTGAAAAAGAAACCCAAACAGTTGTCTTTTAGACAGTAATTTAATTTTTGTTGCAGAAGATGACTTAAAACCACAGTCACTCTGCAGCCCACCACAAAATGCCCTGAAGCTAAAGTAAATGTTTCAAATTATTCCTACCACTTTTGGAATGTGACCTTAAAGATAAAATCTCTTAAACTGGGAAGATGGCAATGTATTGTACCGTCCAAAATTCAGAAGACCATTCCTTCTTTGAATAGACTAAGAACAGAGAAAACAAGCACTGCTGAAAGTGACCAAAATATGCCTGTCCAATCCTTTGAGAAACTTTCTGAAAGTCATTGTAAGGATGGAAGTTTATGCTTTGAATTCAGTCAAGTGAAAAACTTGTACGCTTTTCAGCTCCAGAAGTAGAACTGATTCCTATAGAAGACATTGAAAGATAGATTTATTTTATTCATGTGGTGTTTTCTTATAACTGTGTGTTCAAGTAGAATGCCCAGGAACACGGATGTGTATGACACAGCCTTCTTTTCTAATTCACTACAAAGGTAATTTCATCTCCACAAGTAAGAAACACTTCTACTGAAATTCAACAAAAAAAAGCTTCAGATCAGAAAAAGAAAAGCTTCACAATGTTTAAGTTTCCCTTGCCCATGTTAACCCTCCTACAGAAATGGGCAAATCATCAATTATCACTATGATTAATTTGTTTGAAGGGAATATAAAACTAATCTATATCCATCTCACATTATATTCAGTAACTATTAACCATGTCAAGTAATTGAAGAATCCTCAAAACAAAAGAAAGAAAAGAAAGGTGCTAGCCAGTCATCTCCAAACTAATTTTAAAACAGAAAAGAAAAAATATTTTATTAGAGAGCTCAGTGGTGTTTAGAAGAGCCCTGGATCTATAGCTACTGAACACAGTCTGTTCAACAGACTTCTTGACAAGAGTCACAAACAGCAGCTGGTAAACAGCCACATAGGAAAACCGTTGGCTAGGACGTACCTTAAGGAAATTCTGCAGTGCTTCTTCTACTGTTGAAGTTGGTGGAGTCCCAAAGAGAGCAGTGGCTACCTTCTTTTCAATCCAAGACAACTGAGCTACCTATAATAAAAAATTAAATTAAAAAGTCAGATGTCTTCAGTTTTACAGTAAATACTGTCTTGAGTACTGTACTACTTACATGACATATTTTGCAAAAGAACCTGTAAAGGAATGCTTTATACTGCCAACTTGCCAGCTACAAGCAGTCTTTTGGATTTTGGATTCTGTTAACAGGAAAATATGCACATATGACAAAATACTAGGATCCTTGATACAAGATTATTCCCATATAAAAAGCTTAAACTACATTTTAGGTTTCATAAGACCTTGCCTGTTTTTAAAACTGAAGGCTAGGAATAGTGCTTGAAACTTGTTAAGGTTTTCAAGAGAAAGTTTAGCATGATAGTCTATGTACTTGACAAGTTTTCAGCATTATGAAAAGCTGTTGCTACAGTAAAAATGTAAGTGCTTTTGGTGCTGGTATAACAAGTTCATTTATTACACAGAAGCTGGTGACAGCCACTGTTAAAAAATAGGCTTCGTTTTTTCCTCTTCAAATCTGACAACGCTTGCCTAAGACCTCTTCTCATTTTGGCAAGATGGACTGCTGAGAAAGGACTTTAGGGAACTGTCATATTCCCACACAACGCACATGACTTCTTTCCTTACATATACACCTGACAGAAACTGCTCTGGTTACTGCCATAAGGTACTTGGCTACATCACCCCAACATGGCAAAACACATCTCACATCTATAACAAAGGGTGGAGTTGCTAGGAAATGCAATGTAAGAGCAGAGCCTGTTTAAATGGAGAAGTGAAGCCACTTTCCTTTGGACACTTCTACCACATCTGTAAAGAAAAATCAGGACTTTTTTCCTTTCCATAAGTATTTGAACCACTGCCCTGATGGCTCCTGTCACAGAGTACAACTGAGTTGAAAAATGGGAAAAAAACAAGGTTCTGTATTTTCTAGCCTGATCTATGCAGAGGCAACACAGAAAAGAGATATATACAGGAAAAGAAAGAGAGCCTTTCATCAGAGACCTGGAGATGAAATACGAGTCACATATGGACATCTCTTTTCAGAAAGAGCTGCAACTCAAATAACAGAGTTCAGCCTTGAAGTCAAGTTGGTCCTACTGCTGTAAAAACTAAAATGGTTTTGGATAGTTTTAGATTATTCCTGCCTCATTCCCTAGCTTCCCAATATCTGCAGGGCTGTTGCTGCTCCCCCTACCTTCTCCACCTAAATCCAGCAATTATCCAGTAGATGTCAGTTAATAATTGTAAAATATAAGAATCCACCCACACAGAATTATCCACAGCCATCACCCAGAATGCTTCTCTTTTGAACAGACACCAAGCTCTATGTATTTCTTGTTGCAAACTGCCCTAAAAATACCATTGCTAGAAATACAGGTCAGCATGCAACAGGAAAATTCATAGAACCATGTTTTCTAATCTGGTCCCAATGTCTCTAGCTGGATAAGAGCAACACTGCTTGGAGAAACAACATTAAGAAAATAAAGCTTTTGCTTTCATTCTCTCTCACATGTCCCAACTTCAAGCTTCTTCTAAGGAAATAAAGTATTTTTTACAAAAGCTCTCCAGCAATCCTAGAGTTCTTACTCACTGAAGCAACAAGGTATTTACATCTGCAGTGCTTTCACACTGTGTTACAAACTTCAGCATACTGCCTTAAAACTTCAAATTGTAGCTATGTATATAATTTCTTTCCACATTTCATTTCCCTTACCGTTATATAGTTTCTAGGACATATTCTGCAAGAGTCATTAAAAGCATTTTTGCAAAAGTGCTGTTTTCTTCATGCTAATCTCCTGATGCAGTGTTCTTTCTTCTTTTGGAAGAGAAAGGGGCTTTTTATATTTCTAGGTCCATCACATCAATATAGAAGTAGCTTACAGAGTGAGGAAGAGAGGAGAAAAAAATAAAGGGAATGGATATGCTTACACTGTTCTCTGCAAGACCACACAACACCCCGGAGATACACAGATACAATTACCATACTCATGTCTGCTGTTATGCAACAGTGAGGAAACAAAATTGCAGTTTTTCCATGTGGAGTTATAATTAGCTATTGAAAACACAAGTTCTTCCTGGCAGTTGTTTTATTTTCTTACGAGATTTAATCAGAACTGATTTACTGAGGTTTTAGTCTTTATTTTGTCTGGCATGGGTGCTGCTTTGCCCTATTCAAACTTTTAAAAAGCCCAAACATACATGCACTTGGCCATTTTTATTTTACAAATCTCACCAAGATAAAACAATGTTAAAAGTGAAATGCATGTAAGCACATTTCACAGAAAACCACTTGCACTGAAAAGAGGTTGTAGGGAGGTGGAGGTCACTCTCTTCTCCCAGGTAACAAGTGATGGGACCAGAGCAAAGGGCCTCAAGTTGCACCAGGGCAGGTTTAGACTGGATATTAGGAAAAATCTCTTCACTGAAAGAATAGTCAGGCATTGGAACAGGCTGCTCAGGGAAGTGGTATAATGGCTATCCCTGGATGTGTCCAAAGATGTGTGGATGTGGCTCTTGGGGCACGGTTTAATGGTGAACATGGCAGTGTTTGGTTAACGGTCTTTTCCAACCTTCATGGTTCTATGATTCCGTGACAACAGTGAGTTTTCTTTCTTTCTGTGTGCTCTCTCCACCATTACACTTTGTAACTATTTCAGAGATAGTCTGAGAGTTCTCTAATGTTTTGAGCGGTGAGACTGATATGCCAGTAGCTTGATGTATTCATTGCAGCTAACTCTAGCCATCCATAAATGAAGTGCCTAGTTCATGCAAGTTGTTCAGCTTCCTTGCATGATCAATACAGACAGAGGCAATTCCATTAGGCAATTCCTATTCTCCTACATTAGCTTAGGATGAACGCTCCTCTTTTTCTCTTCTTTTTTTCCTTCAACTGCAAAAGGAGTGCAGACAATTGTATTTTGTGGGTTGCTGAAGACAGGTGAGGTGAATCCCATCAGAACAGCTTAAGTGTACCCTGTCTGAATCTGTCTGCACCCTGCTATACTGAGCTGGGAAAAATGGAAAAGAACCTGTTTTATGCAATACACAGAACTGTGTCCCAAAGCAATAATGATGAACAGGAAATTATACCCTTCCCCTCAGTGCACATAAGCACAGTCTTTAATTTGAAATAACTTTATTAGAGTAAATCTTACGCCACCTTCAGTGAAATGGAAACAATTCCTACTATACCAACTAACTTTATTAAGCATTCTCTGTGTGTGAGCAAGCACAGGGAACAGAAACCCTGCTCAGCATGCTCTAGTGTAGCGCAAATTTGACTTCTACAGTAAAGGTTACTCCAATAGTGCAAAGTATATCTGGAGGTCCATACAAAATCAAGTATAAAAAGAGTGTAACTGTCATCAACTACAGCGGAACCATGATTTCACTTTAATGCATGTTCCAAAAGTGGTAAAAGACAGCAGAAAGTAATAAGAAAAACAGCTACTGCAGCATGTAATAGCTACAACAACAAAAAAATTAAAGAATGAAGATTGCCTTTGCCCTACAGATGATTTCCAAATGTTAAGTGGGTTTTAGTTTTTTGGTCTCCTAAACCCTGATGTCAGTCCTGCCAGCAGCCTGAAAATTCACAGGAACACTGTGTTTCCACAGAATATCAGGTTTTAATGTATTGGGTCACTCATTGCTACCCAGCTGCCATACAAAGAGTTAGTCCCACTCAATCAAGAACGAGAAAAAAGGGCCTGAGGGACCATCAGCCAAGTCCTGAACTTCCTTAGGACTGCAGAGGAGTGGGTCATAATGATAGCCTGGCCTCTGCCAAGGAGAGGAGGCCACTCTTCAGTATCCCAAAGCAAACAGAGATGCTTGTCTCAACCAACCTCTCCCATAGATCTGTCAAAGAACAAGCAGTCATCCACTTATTCTACCTAAACCTCCATCACTACTAGAGATGGAAGAAAGGTAGCCGCAGAGTTAAACTGCAGCTGAACATGAAGGTCATATTTAGCTCTCTCCTATCAGGCCTCTTGTTTCTCTGAAGACCAACGCAGAAACATGGTTCTCCCTTAAATACTGGGAAAATGGATTTCCTAACATCCCTTTCTCTTCCTTAGCCTAAGATCATCAAAAATCATATATATATATGATTTGAGAAGTACATATATACAATGGAACACTGGCTGGGGTTTTGTATTCTATTTGTTTTTTATGAGACACAAACCCTATCCAGTAACAGTTCTTTTCAAATTCAGGATGTTTGTACTGAGAAAACTAATCCATTTGGATTAAAAAGTCATCCAAGATTGACTTTCAGCCCTATACAATACCCTCCTCCAATGCTTCCTTGCTAATAGCTCACTGAAGACATATTACACAATTATCTTCCATAAAGGAAAATCACCTCATTGATCCAGCTTCAGTAAAATATTAATGACACCTAATTAAATATCCCAGAGAGTTTCTTTTTCTTTTTCATTATAATATATTAATTTAAAATTGTATTAAATAATTTCGCAATGTTTTGACTTCTGGAAGAAATTAAGTAACAGGACACCAGTTTTAAAATACTGGCTTCCAAAACAAATATTCTCTTTCTTGCCAACTGAAAAACCAGGACAGTCTGCACAGGCATTTAGGTATTTATCCAACTTGAATTGGGCTTTTCACTTTCCAGTAGGGGAAGCAGACTTACAGAGCATACAAAGGAACTGGATCTATTGTTCTCTGATGTAACCAAAACAGATACTGAGATACACCAGAGACAAATCCATTACATGGCATGTAACCTGCAAAAAGAAAATCCCAAGAGATCTCATTTTTAACACCCTCCTGGCATTTACCAGAGACTCTGATCCAGTTTCACAAGTATATGCTAACTGTTTTGTGCCTGTCCTGTAATGGCAAACAGACATAAGTCTTAAATAGATAGTACTCTGTTTTATAAGCTATTTGAAACATTAAAACAGTAAAAACATACCCCACCAAAATTATAAAGATTTATCAGATAATTGTGCCCAAAACTCCATGGAAATAAAACTAATTCCTATATGCACCATGTACCACAGATCCATTTACTTCTGTATACACAGCAGGTCTCACAGGCAAAATTTTACCCATCATGACATCTATGGCATGACTGGTGAAAATCTTGCCTATCTGATTGCGATACCAGATGTAATTTTCTAACACTGCTGAGATGATTCTATGATCTTTCTCTTTTGTATAGCTCTACTGACTTTATAATGGTAAGAGAAATAAGAAACAGCAAAAATTGATTTTTAGACGAGGTGGCGCACAACTGTCACTGGCTCTGCATCGCAGACAAATGCCAGCTGCTGTGAGGGCAGTGAAAATATAGCTCATCTTTTCTGCTGGAAGGTGCTACAACACTGCTACAACAGCTTCACTTCTGGCCTAGCAAGAATAACTGACGAGTAAGAAACTTTGCAGTGCTGAATCACTGCTCTTTGCAAAGTACTGTGTTACGCTGAGGAAGGTGAGAAGTGGCAGTCAGAGCTAAATTCTGGCAAAATTCCACAAATCAAATAGTTTTTACCTGTATAGCGTGCAGTCTCCGGATATAGATTTCAGCCTTCAATAAATCTTCATTTCCCTCCACTATACATTTTACCTAAAAGTCTTTTCAACTGGTTTTCATTTGTGAAAATGAACTGTAACCCTGAGTTACACCTGAAGCATCCCCTTTTACAATCCCCTATGTAATTTCTAATTTTTTGAGTTTGTCATCCCCAAAAAAGTGCTAGATGATAGTAATAAGATCCCCTAACATTAAATAAGGAGTGAATGGGAAATGTCTGACTGTATTAAAAAGACTTAAATACATTTCACAGAAGTGTTACCAAAGCCTATAAAGTTATCTTTTTTAACTACACTGCTTCAGTAAAACAATATGTGATGAAAATTAGACAAAAATACCCTTGGAAGCAATACTTGAGAAAGAACAAGTATTGGGCCAATCCTAACCTGACCCTAAAGTCAGGTAGGCTAAATGTAAAAACTAACCTTCTTGCCTCAGTCATCCCTTTTTCTTCTTTAATTCTCTCACATCAGACAACACAACCTTCCCAGCGTCAAGCACAGCGAGACTGAACATTAAAAACAGAGGGTCTAAGAGGAACATTTATCACTCCAGCTACAGGTACCTGTATAGAGGAGCAATGAATCAATTTTTCAAGCACTCTATCATAATCTATACCCTGACAAAGTATTTGGAATCAATGCCACAGCCAAAGTCTTTTTTGGGGATAATTACCACAGCGTGAAACACCACAGTCTGCAGAATAGGACCAAGGAATTTGGCACATTTTCCACAAGTTCCTACAACTACCTATAACATACACCTGGCCAAAACCTCTATTAGTGGATCAGCTCAGAAACCTACTCATATAGTCTGGTAAAACTAATGAGAATATCACCAACCTCATCGGGCCATGATTAAGATTCAGCTTCTATAATAGTGCCTCAAAACTAATGTTTTCAAATGACCTCATTCTGCCACTGCAAGTGTGCAAAGACAGTAAGATTTTAAGAGCTGACAGCCCCAGAAACTAAAACAAAATGTTATTCAATCCTATACTTGCATTTATTTGTACTACAAAAATCTGTTCTGTGTGTTTCAGGTTACTATTTTGTAATGGCAGTCACAGAAAACAAGAATTTTAAAAAAGAAGAAAAAGCGAAATCTGAAATCAGTCCTTAAATATTTCAGTGGCTACATCCGTTTAGGTAGATTATTTCACTTAATGAAATGCAGGTCAGGTCATTATCTAAAGCAAATGCTAATATGTGGTTTTAATGTTTAGTAAGGAAGCCCTGCATAGGTGTTGCAAGTGTGGAACGTGAATTTGTAATGATACAGTACAACAAACCACACCTATTACTCAGTCAGGAAGTAGTGACTATCATGAAAATGGAACAAGAGTAACAAAAAGTGCAATGAGAACAAAGTGAAGTATACTGAGATTATATGCCTCCAAAAAGCAGCAGCTCGCATGAGAAATAACCCATGAAAAACATCTGGGAGAGTTTGACATAAATGGAAGCTGCAGTTCAGATGTTGTACACAGCATAGTACAAAAGTGCTAAACAATCACTGGTAAGACAGATGCCCCTGAGAGGCAAGACAGCAAGCATACTATAGTACCATCTTCATCAACTTATTTTTGCATAGATAGTGATGCTATTCAAGAATACAGTGTGACAAAAAGAAAAATGCCAAGTTCTTCGAAAAAGTTGGTGTCATTCCTTATTCAAATCAAAGGAGAAGAAATATAGTTGCTGAAAGCTCTTTTGAAGTTAAATATATAATCTGAAAAAAAACTGCTGAAGGATTACTTTGCATTAAATCCTGTTGCAGATAAAGACAAAGTCTGGAATGTATCACAACAACTCCTTCCTTACAGTTTGCAGGCATTTTGTATTGACTAGCATTGGAAGTATCCATTAAAAAAAGGCAGGACTGGCATTCACTGTGCTTAGCAGTTATTCTGAAAAGTCTTACAGCCATCTTTTACAGTATGGACTACGAAGAACAATTTCTTCTGAGCAAGGATTCCTCACAGCACCAGAAATGAAGCAGTAAGGATAGCCAACTGATCCCTCAAAGATGTAGGCTAAGAATAAGACAACTCTCATTCTAAAGCACAAGTATAATTTTTCTAAAAAACTGATTAACAGCTAAACTTGTAAACCAATTATTTTATTTTTTCTTAAATGAATACTTATCAGCGTGTAATCTATTATAATATAATACAATCTTTATAATATATAAATAAAAATATAACTAAAGTAATCTTTAAAATCACCTGTTGTACTGGCATGACACAAATTACTTCTCTTGCAAAACTGTTTGGTGAATTATGGATTTTTATGCCTGAATCTTTCTTGTGACATTCTCTTGGAATTTACCAAGCCAGTATGGTAGCCTTGCTGCCACAGACATAATGTGCAGCATGTAAGTGTCTTTCACTTAAGTTATGGATGGGGAATACAGTTACCAAAAGGCTATGATAGCAGCCCAAGGTTACCCCAAAGGTTTGTAGCGGAACAAAGAACTGAAATCAAGAGATTGCCCTTCCTCCCTTCCAAACATCAGTTACTTTTCATTCATGCATTCAGGTAAAAAACTTGAACACAACAGTGAGGGACATACAAGCACAGCTTACCTATCTATATTACAGGATAAGTGCTGAGAGCAACACACTTCTGGTAGTTGATTCAGGAAATGTAAATGTCTGCTTCATTTAGCTCAAAACACCTACTTAAATAAACACTTACTTTGTCTTAAGTCCCAATATTTAATCACAAATGCATTATCATTTTTCAGTATACTCAGTTCATATATTAGATAAATAAAACACAACTTACTGAATAGCACCATCTTCCATTGAGGTAATATAAAAAGGGATCTTGAGGCTTAAGTTCAATCGCCTTGTCTAGATGCTCCTATTGGAAAGAAAATTAGTATCCCTTTAGATGTTTGTTTGACAACTGTGTTTCCTTTCTAAGTAGTTTGCTGCAAGTCAGAAACAAATTCAGTAATTCTCTTCTGCTGCAATTCTTTTCTAACAACCTAAAAATATATTAACTAGCAAACCCCTTCCTCATGGAGGGAAACCACAAACAAAATTATTTAGTAAAGTTGCACACAATGCAACAAGGCATGCCATATTTAGAACATGACTAAGCAACTCTAAAGTTCAATCAAATAACTCAAGAACTTTTGTCATAAGAAAAACAACAACTTCAATTAAATTAATTTCATTTACAGTTAGTATTAGAAAAATCACAGATCAAATAAGTGAGGAACCAATCATTCTCTTTGATAGATCTTGTATGTCAGCACACATCACTGAAGCACAGTCTCTCCCACCTTAGAACGTGACTGCTCCAATGAAATGGTACTTGACACAACAAACTTTTACTATAATGTGAAATTCAAAAAATAAAATGATTCTGTTCATAGTGAAACTATAAAACCTAGGAAATATCTAATGAGGTCCTTCTTCCAAAATCATTTTTATTACAGGTCATGAGCCTCTTTATTCCCCTCTTTAATTTACTAAAGAAAGCTTTTATCGCTCAACCTAAGTTTGAAGAAAAAATACGTCATTTCACCCCTAACATTTGCCTCTCAAAATAAATTTCACTTGAACCTTTCTTTTTTATCCCCCAGATATCTTTCTAATTCAGCCAGTCACAAAAATATTTGAGTTATACAGATCTAAGAGACTGTTATGCTATCATTTTGTCCACAAACTATTCAGATAGGAGCTACGTTTTCATACTACTATTTTCCCAAATCCTTAACATTTCCACACAATTCAACAGATTTCAGTATTTATAGTGAGGAGGAAAACCTCCCTGAAAAGGTTACTGCTCATACCAGGAACTCCTAAAACTCCATCCTTACACAGCTGCAACACTTACGTTATTTGTCATTATCCCTTCGTTCCCAGCTTGTCCCTGTGCTTGGGGCTTAGCTCACTTGGTACAGCTCAGATGTAATTTTTGCTCTCTCACAGGAAAGCTCTGCCACACTCCAAGTCCTAACACAGACATGATGTGACAGGAACCCAGACCAGGCATTCCCCAGGAACTGGAACATGTCTGCTGCCTCTCACTGACACCCAGAAAGGGGGGACACCAGCTTGGAAGGCAAGGGATGGATGGAAAGTGTCTAAGCAATGCTGAGGACAAGGACGGGGAGAGTAGCACATGTAACACAAGTAACTAAATCTAAAAAACACAATTATCTTCGAAAGGACAGTGTTAAAAAATACATTACTTAAGGGTGGCATGAAGGATGATTGCAGAACTGTGTTAGTTGATTATTTACTATTTCATATGTTTTGATTTTCTAAACAGAATTGTTATTCCCTTTTCCTCCCCCCTTTGACTACAAAATAAACCAGACATCTTAATGCTGTTCCCAGAATCCTACCTCAGTTCTTATATTGTGTAATCATATAATCTATTTGCATGTATAAAAATAACTTTTTCGCTTTAACTTAAGCACCAAAATAGACCTGTGAGGCTGAATTACTGTGTTGGAATAGTCTGTCTTTGACACTATATAAGGAAATAACTTGAAGGAATAGCTTTAAAAAAAAAACCAACCCCAAATCCTACAAAAACATACCTTAAAGAGATAACCATTCCTGATTTTGTTTTGTACACTTTCAAACTGAGACATATAGCCACACATAATTGCAAACCTGAGAGGGGAAAAGAAAAACACACACACATACTTTTTGTGATTTAAATAAACCTTTGAATTAAATTACAAAATATTTCAATACCTAATTCACAGATTAACACTTGGGGTTGTTTTCCATCTTGATAGCTGGATGGAAGTTTGGCATAAGATATACATATTCAGGAGCAGACAAAAACACAGATCAAAACAAAATAATAACGGAAACAAGAAGAAGTTTAAATGACACTATCTGGGCTGTCAGTGAAGTGAAAAAACAGATTTCTCCTCTTGTGTTTCTACCATATAGTTCAGAGTATGACACTTCCAGACTGGCTCTACCATTGCCAGCAGTTTGACACATTGTGCTCTGCATTATACTGCACTGGGAACATCAACACCGTCAGCTGCAGAACCTCACCTGGGAAGGCAAATACTGGGGGTGTGCTCAGTAGGAAGCTGCACACACAGAATGTTCACAGCTGTCTTCTACCCTTTTCAAGCACCTTGGTGCATTCCTGCACTTCTGGTATTCTTCTAATATCTTCAAAATTACCTAAAAACATACACACATGTTCTGCTCTAAGAGGATCACTACTGCTATCACTAGATCATTATTATTTCTATTATTATTACTATGATTATTGTAAATTTGGGAGACTGATAAAAGAACTGTGAGATAATTTCTATAGAATATTTGTATTGTTAAGCAGGTATAACTGAAAATATTTTCAGAGGTCCCCATCTATAAAGATTCAGATCTCCTAAGCAACACTGCTGCTTTATTGACACTCCACCTAAATTTCTATTGCTTTCTTCCTATTACTTTAACAATTACAGAACCTCTATGCATAAGGAATCTTTTGCACAGACATCAAGTGTACTTTCCTCGGACCTATTTTCATTGGTATTAAGACAACTTTGTATTTCTGTATAAAACTAACAGAACCATCAAAGAAATAGTTAAACAGTCAAAACTCATGTACATTATTTTTCTAATTTTTCAGAATTTTGCTTTCTTACTAAATATTTTACAATGCAATACCAAATCAAAGGAAAAAATAATCTTAGAAGAGGGAAAGCCAAAGACCAGAGGAAAACATGAGTTATGCAAGAAGCTTATTGAGTTAATTATGGTAACAGAACCACAATCTGTATGGCACACACAGGTTTTAAGCATTACTAAACATCAGCTTTCTTGAATTTCTTTATATAATGTAATTATTCAAGCTCCAGTGAATCCTCATTAAAACATCAATTAAAGAAATTATTTTATTGCTTACAGTTATACCTAATGGTTTTAAGTTAGAAACACTCATGCTAAAGGTCATTACATTTTTTGGTCAGCAAGTGTTCCCAGGTAAGGAACGGAGTCAGCATAACAACAGCAGTTAAATTTGTAAGAGCTTCAGACAGACTGTCAAACACTGTTGAGCAGGATGTATGTTGTGACCAATGTGCACTGGACAAAATCCAGCTAATGGCAGCTCTACTGCTGATAGAGCCGCAGTGGAAGCGCATTTTGTATGGGAATGAGCTGCAATTGAGGGAAAAAGCAAGAGGTGGGGGTCAGGAAAGTTCAGGTATTTAGAAAGAGGGGGAAGGTACTGAAAACTTCATTAGGTTTAAGTAACTCAGGCAACATTGCCCCTATTCCCTTCACTCATTAAGTGCTAATCAGATAAACTCAGCATACCATAGCTAAACGGATTGCTGCTACAAAAGAAAACAATGAAAAGCGAACAAGCTAATCCAGCATCTTGCAGTATTTCCCTGTCTGTGCGTGACAAGAAAGAGGGCCTTAGTTTAAACTAGTTCAAAGAAAAATTTCTACTTACAGCTAAAATCTCTGGGGAAGGATATCCCAACAAAATTTTCAACGTATTAAAAGTAAGCTAACCTACTAACTTTAAATATGCATTACTTTTTCAAGGAAAAATTAAAAATGTCTTTCAGATATTTGTCTTTTTCTTTTTTTAAATTCTATACTTTTGAACTAGGCTAGCCAGCCAATTGATATAAAAGAATTATTTAATTTTTGGCGTTTAATTTTCAAAAAAACCCAACACCCTAAAGCAAAGAAAACAAAAAAGTGTCTTTTGTTTCCAGAAGATAATCTTTAGGCATTTTAAATATTCTTCAAAGAGTTTAAAACACAAAGCAAACTTTATTTTCAGTGATGCGAAGACTAATGTTAATAATAGATTGGTTTGGGTTGAAGGCACCCTAAAGATCATCTAATTCCAACCCCCTGTCTAGGGCAGGGATACCTTCCACTAGATCAGGTTGCTCAAAGCCCCATCCGACCTGGCCTTGAACAACTCCAGGGATGTGGCAGCCACAGCGTCTCTGGGCAACCTGCTCCAGTGCCTCACCACTCTCATAGTGAAGAAAATGATCAGAAAAAACGAGGCAGGAGGTAACTAGAAACGCTTCCATCTGTTCCTTATTCTTTGCCGCATGCCGGCCTCAATCCTGCCACTCCCTGGTCACCTGCCCCATCTCGTGGTGGCAGGGGGGAATACTAAAAAGCTTATCACAAAATAACGTGCAAATATCCTATGAAATGGGTAAAATGCACATGCATTTTGGTAGAGCAAGTGATACTGGCTCTCCTCACTATCACTGCCTGCCTTACAGACTTTGAACATCAGAGTTAAAATACTGTTTACAGTCCCTTCACAGAGAAAATGAAAAAATCATACCAGTGAAGAGCTGCAAGGAATGACGTAACTGCTGAGCTAATGCTACTCTTGGGTAACATAAAAAAAAACACCCCAGACACGTTCATCTAAATAAACACAATGATCATTACCCCATTAAGGCAGAACAGTACTTGGGTTGGCATAAAAAACATCTTATTCACAGATGGAAGAAAAGTTACTGAATGTGGTGTAGAGGCATACAGGTCAACCATCCACAATTAACACTCCTTTAATAAGCACAAACACAACCAAAGAAACTCAGTAATAAGTCACCATAATGTCCTTTTGTTAAAAATGTTGTAATTGAAACTCAGACTTTCAAGAAACTGTAGCTGACAGAGAAGGATACCAAGTGCCTACATGGCCCTCATGCAGAAGGGTCCAGATCAAAGTGACTTAACATTTTCCCTTCTGGTGCTCCAGAATTTCTGTATGTATTCAGGCAAGGTAAAACTGTAAGGGGCATACCTTATCTGTTGCAAAAGGGAGAGTAGCAGGTTGATACACTATGTTTTATCAACTTGATTTGAATCTTAATATTAAAAATGCTACCAACACACAAGACTCTGGCAACTACAGCTTATTCCATATGAGACAGATTTACAAAAAAGATTTTAAAGTCTCAGATCCGGAATAATCCACACTAGGGCACGTGAATACAGCAAGTTTTACCTTTTCCCTGATAAATCTCACAGAGCCAAAATCAGAAATAACATGCATCTTCCCAGGCTCATTCCTCACTCTTCTATATACCCTTTCATATATCCCAAATCTAAAAAACCCTCTTATGTCATGTAGACTTTGGAAATGTGTGGGTACAGAGCTTACATTTAGAAATCTAGATCTCCATTTTAACATCCTAGTATCAACAGGAAAGTTTTTCTCAACTGTAAATGGTAAGACTTTGCCAATTGAAGGAGAAACATTTAACATGTAAGGTAGTATGAGCAAAGGCTAATGTGTGCGTAGCACGAGAGACCCAGTGAAAAGAAAACTCGCTTTCATCCCAGTTCTAAATGTGTTCTTAAGTCCCCTCACCTCCACATGGCTCAGTCCTGTGCATGCCATCACTTCTTAGCCATCCACTCACTCACTCACCCACTCACCCACCCACTCACCAGTTTCACACACTTACAAATTCTGACAGTCTCTGCAAAGCAGCCAGACTTCATTTTAACATGATTTCAATGAGATATCAATTTCTATGTAGGGAGATTTTGCAACTTAAGTTACTGATTACTGATTATGACTCTGCTGAATAAACCTTTCTGAGATCGCAGTTTTGCATAAATTGTACCACTTTCCTGCCAAGATACTTAATCTATAAAATTGCATCTGAGTTCAGATGGAGAGGTAGAGGTGGAAAGATACCACCATCCTCCTTGGGGTGTGAGTGTGGAAGAAGTGGCTGAGAATGTGTAAGACTGACAACACACAAAATAAGATGTGCCAAGGTACAAAGGTAAGTGTTCAGGTGGGGTTTTTTCATGGAGATTCTCTCCCTTTCCCTTCCTCTTCCCCTTTCCCTTTCCCCTTCCCCTTCTTGGAATACAACTGAGTCTACATTGTAGAAATTGGCAGAAATATAGTTTTCATATTAAAAATTTACCAGAGCACTGAAGCTGAGGTCTAGGGAAGTATCAGATGTAGCTCACACTTGTTTACGTGATACTTGCAAAAACACGAGAAACAACTCCCTATTTTGGTTAAAAAACCCTGAAGGTAAGGACGTTCAAGAATTCTTGCTTAATAATTTATTGCAACACATACAGTATACCATGCCAGTGTTAATGTGTATTCACAGAAGTTTACCAGTAGAACATGTGGATGCCATGTTCTGCATTTCTTAGGCTGTGTAACCCAAAACTATGTTAATTTCTGTGTTAAAGAAATGTAACTTCTTGTTTTATAACAGATGGTTGTTAAAGATAGAAATACAACCTTGAAGAAATTAGCAGGATAGTCTTCACAAATGTGGAAACAGAGTGAAATAATAGCTTTCAAAGATAGTAACACAACAATTTTTCTTGACAGACATGTAAAAGGAATCACTAGGTTGCCAGTTTTATTTCCTCTGTGACCATTCTGGCAAAAAGCTTGTAGTAAACAGATCTTTTCACATGTCAAATCTACCTCCTCTGCACTTGCATGAGGATGCTGCAGTGTTTCACTGATCCACTTACTAGAGAATAAGTTACACCTTTTCAGAAATGGCTTCTGGATTTGAAATTTTAAATTATTTTTACAAAAATAATTAAGTATTTAAAAGATGATTGACTACAATTAAGTTATAAAATTTCTTTGGTCTTCCCATGAA